CCTGCTGTTTAGACCTAGCCTCACTCTCCAAAAGCCTCAGTTTCTCAGATCACTGCATTAGGGAAAACAGACAAACTTTGCAGGGTGTGTGGCTGAGATGTTTCAAGCCTGCCATTCATTGGAGGGGGAAGGGGATGAATAATAAAGTGAAGAACCTTTCTTGGCAAACTAGCGTATGGCTGATCCTTAGGATGTTCCTCCCTATTGTAAGTCATAGTACTGTACAGGAAGAGGCAGCCTCCCAAATAAGCAGGTCTCAAGCTAGTTACAACTTCATAGGTTAAAAGCAACAGTGGAAAGCTGAGTGGAACAGTGGAACGCCCATCACAGAGTGAGGGTGTCCCATAAGGAGAGAATTGGCTTAGCAAGAAGATTGCCTCAGGTTTCAAAACATTCTCATGCGGTGCCAGAATTGCAGTGATGAGGACTGTATGGCTCCTGGCAGGGAGGGAAAGGGTCACATGCTACAGCCCAGCCAGAAAGGAGCAAGAAGCACTTCTAGTGCCTGACAGGTGGCATTGTGAATTTTGACATTGACTAAAATGGGAAAAGGGCAGAGTAGGCTCTAGTCATTGCTATTATCTGATCATCAACAATTCCTTTTCTAGGATTAAAAATAATCTGTTTTAATACCTGTGATGGATTGTAGCGCTGCTCTGTAAAACTAAAATGCTGAGTGGGAAAAACATCAAAAGGTCCTTTGTGAAGTCGACTTTGAGCAGGCTTTTAAACATCAGAATGAAACAGAAAATGACCATAACCAATACTTGCTTTTCAGTGTGTTTTATATAAAACAGCAACATGTTGTTTCTCTGTATAAGCTCTGGGGAAATAAACAAACAAACAAACCAACCCAACTGCACTGCCGATTCAATCGCCAGGCTTTTTTTGGTAATCAGGATCAAATTTTAAAACCCAAATAGGGAACACTTGCCAGGCTTTCAATTAAATATCACCGTGGCGCACTGAATGCTGAATCTGCAAAGCAGGCAACTATAAATCATTCAGAGAGTGTGTTTTTACTCTGGAAGCTAGAAATACACTGCTGTATTTAATTTGCATTTCAGGGTCTTGATATCAATGTTGAATTAGTCGACGCTGAAAGGTCATAATTGTTCAATACACACTTGCCTAAGGATGTTTCATTAGCTGACAATGCACAAGTAATACTGCATATAACTATGATTATTATTTATCATAGGTGGCAAAAGTAATGATGTCTGTAACTGAGTGCTCAAAATGTTCTATTATTAAATGCTGAGAAGCAAAAGAAGTACCGAATAGCTATCCATTCACTGAGCATCGCCTCTTCTGTGTGCTGAATGAGGCAGGGTCTTGAGGAAAGAAGAGTACATTCTCATGTAATTAAAAACTATATATGCATTATGCACAAGACGGCCAAACTAAGGTTGCCCAGGCATTTCCAAACTTTTGAATGCTTAACTTTGCAACTATAACTTTCTTGTAATGTAGTTATTTTGGGGGACTGTATATAGGTACTGCAGTAAGACATATAGTAATGTATGCCATATCAAAGGTCTGCCTCATTCTTTACACGATGAATTAGACCTGTAATATGGCATACATTACTATACGTCTTACTGTAGTACCTACATACTCTAAAGATCTCCTGCTACATGAATGCCATTCTGCAAACCCTTACTTATGTGAGTAGTTGTTACTTACAGGAGTAATAGACCCTCTCAAACAAGTGTCAATAACACATTTATTTGACATCACACAGTCATCTTCCCTTACTCTTGGCATGGGAGATGGATTCATGGGCAGAGGGAAAATGTGGTAGTTACAGCTGCATAGTAGCTTCTGCAATTTATTAAACAGATACACTACATATGAGTAGATGGTATTGGCACACAGAGGACATAGGTAATTTAATTTTAATTAGTTGGTACAAGAGTGTGCTTCACTGTGGAAGGATTTGGGAAGGACTACCTTCAAATCTTCCATATGTGTATGCGTTGTTGTAGCTATGTGGATCCCAAATATTAGAGAGCCAAGGTGAATGAGATAATATGTTTTATTGGATAGGGAGAGAAGCTTCAAGAGCTCTGTGTAAGCTTGTTTCACTCCCCAATAGAAGCTGGTCCAATAAAATAGATGTCACCCACCTTGTCACGCTTTTACATTATAATCAGCATCCTCAAGCTTGGCTCTACTTATCCCTTTATTTGCATGGTTGGGCAACATACATTTCATTTTGCAGCCATCTACGGTAATTCATAGCATAGTACAGCACAGGAAGAGGCAGCCTCCCATGCAGAGTGAGTGCCTGTTACCTGCCACTTCTATAGCTTAACTAAACTTGTGATGTTGTGTAGGACTTGTCAAGAGCTCAGTGCACTCAGACTTCAGTCATGCCATGCATTCCAACTCTCTTTTCTGCCTGGATCAGTGTTGAGGCCCTTGTTTGTTCTCCCCAGAGTTCACATGCAGTCCCCGCTTAAATTGTTTTTTTAAAATGTTAGCAACAAAAGTCACATTATTCTTGGTGTTCTCGTTCCATTTATTTTGTAGAGTAAAATGTCGTATAGCACTCGGGTTAAACAGAAATGTCAGCGGCAGAACAGTCTAATTAGGGAAGGGTTGAACTGGCTTGAATACTGTAAGAACCAAACTGTTCTTTTGAAAATGGAATCTGGTATTGATTAAAAAGGGTGATTAGCATTTTTCTGTGTTGTTTTCATTTTCATTTGCCTCTGTACCCTGGAATTCAAAATGGAGATATCCCACGGGATTGCTTTTGCATTCTACAGTGACTATCACAAGAAAAACAAGCCAAAGAATGCCACATTGCTAGATGCCAAAGGTGTCAAACTCTGCTAAGGAGGGCCCCAATTCTGCAAACACTATACACATGCTTAACTTTACTACCATGACTAGCCCCATCAG